ACGGTCAGCATTTTCCTACAAATTTTAATTAAAAAAATAGGTCGTTACTATGATTAAGAAGACATACCCTTTTAGTCCTTTGTTTCTTCACTTTTTGATGTTGTATGGATGAATAGAACTCAAACCAGAGTTCGTATTTCTAGTCGCACCCAAGATGAAGATCCTACCAATGGCTGACACCTCCTTGAAATTGTGAACAACTCTTGAACATAAACCTAAGAAAACTAGGGTTTCGACTTTCTTGCTTAAGGAGCAAGAAAACGAGAGGAGATAGGCGATATATATATATATATATATATATATATATATATATATATATATATATATATATATATATATATATATATATATATATATATATAGAGAGAGAGAGAGAGAGAGAGAGAGGGAGAGAGAGAGAGAGAGAACGAGAACGAGAACGAGAACGAGAACGAGAACTGAGAGTAAGAGGGGAGGTTTAAGGGGGGCGGTTTTTGCCCTCCTTATATAGCGGTAGGGTTTTTTATCTCCTTCTAAATAATTAATTGGTCACTAAGTAATTATCCCCAAATATTTGAATTTCAAATATTACCACGTAAAACCTAGATATAAGATTCTAACCGATTAGTTAGACTTTATATAAGATAGAAATTGATGCTCATATCTTTTTTTTGTATAACCTATAAGAACATTGTTATTAATAGTAATATTACCAAGCAAGGTTTTAAAATACGGAATAAAGCCTCGAGGCGTTTACTCTCCGCCTCTCGAGGCGAAAGCCTCGAGATGAACTGAGGTGTAAACCTCGAGGCGGAATAATAATAAAAATATATTATATTAATCATAAAAACCATACTAAAGTCCAAATTCAAACATAAAAGTCTTACTTAATGTCATCATCCCAAAAATAAAAGATTTTAAAATTCATATTAGTCTCAAGCCAAATTACTAAAAACAAAAGCATAATAGTCTCCAAATCAAGCAAAATCAACAGAAACGAAGGGCATCATCATTTTCCATGTGACCATCGAGCTCATCATCTTCATCCACCAGATTTAGTTTAACAAACTTCTTCCTTTTTGATCTAAAACTTGCACTTGTTCCAACTTTTATTGCAATTTCTTCACCTATTCCAACTTCTCCACCATTATCATTGTATTCGTCACTTGGGTCGGCTAACCATTCATTATCAGAAGTCACTTCCTCAACAAGTAAGCGATCATCACCTTCTCCTAGCTTCTTCTTTGAGACAAACTTTTACTTCAACTTCTTTTTGTACATAATGTACACCAAACTATTCATTTACTCATATTCAACCGGTTCCTTCGCTTTGTATGTACTTGATTAAAAGTATTCCAATTTTGTTCGCAAGCTGAAGCGGAACAAGTTAGACCCAATATTTTTGTTGGAAACATCATGAGTTCGGGCATACTCTCTCCAAATTTATCCCTCCATTCAACTACGAGAAAACAAATTAGTATATTATTTAATAATAATGAAAAAATGTATATCTAATTATAATTTTAGTATATACCAGGAGGCCGTTTAAGGTATGATGTCAAGGAAGCATTATATCCAAATAACCCTCTCTTGTACTTAAAGTCATCGAGTTGTGAATCAACTTTTTCACTAGTCTCTCGAACCAAGAGTCTTTCCATGCTCCTATACAACCCTATTTTTATCTTGGGATGCCAGGAAACATTGGGACTCCACCTATAGCGCATATTCAAGAAATAAGTCGTTGCATACAAGTCAATATGCATTTGATTCTCCTATTTTTCATCAATAATGTCCTATATTTCCTTCTAAGAAGCCACATCCCCATCAAATTTTTTGGCAATCTTTTCCTTGCATTCATCCATTGCACCATAAATATAAGCCATTGCCTATTCTATTTACCATCAACAAGTCTCAAAACATGGACCAGAGGCTTTGTGGTTTTAATTGAATAAACCACGCTAGGCCAAAAATGAAATTCATCCATGACAATTTTCTTGACAGTTATTCCATCTGAATTCTTGGCCCAAGCACAATTTGACCACTCGCTTGAAACGAACATCTGTTGTAATCGTTGTTTTAACTCGTACATGCTTTCTAATATCAAAAATGTAGTTGCAAATTGGGTGGAAGCTGGCTGAAGAAGATCCTTCTTTGCACACTTGATTGCTAAGCTCCAAACCTATTGATGGTTTTGAATAAAATTGCTTACTTTTTTGGTTTTAAGTAAAGCATTTTTGTTTTGTGGCAACCCCCCAATCTTCTCAAGCATCAAATTGAGGCAATTGGCAGCACACGGAGTCTAATATAAATGTTTTCGCTTCTCCATCAACAAGGTACCAACGGCTTTGTATGCACTTGCATTATGTATGATTACATGAATGACAATATCTTCACCGCTTTCCTCAATAACATCATCAAGTAACTCAAACAACTTTTGTGTAGCATATTGATTGTTGAAGGAAAGTTTATGAGGCTTCTGTTTCTTATATCGGACCAACCATCTGATAAAAAAGAAACCCTTGTTTGCTTCCAAGTAGCTATTATGTCATCTACAAATGTAGTGGTTGTTTTGACTTCTTCGTTTAAAATCCAAGTCCTAAACTCGTGTGACGAAGGAGGTTTTAAGTCACGAACATAATTACCAATTGAACGCACCATATTTATAAATGCCAGACTCGATGCAATATTAAAGAACATCCTATTCTCATAAAATCATCACCTAATATCCAAGCAAACTCTATTGCAATGTTCTTTAGCCTTTGCTGGTGTCATCTTCGCAAATGGTAATGTCCCTTGCTCATCATCAATCGAAATGTCCATATATCGGTCTATCAGGCCTGTAACACCCCTGGTGCTAACACTAGGACACAAATTCACACCCCACATTTTCCTTAAGATTATGCCAATTAGCGAATTTCATATCTTGAAATGCTTTTAGATATTGTTGTATTTATTCCTTTACTTCTTTGGGCATGTTTACACAAGGTGTAACATCTTTGTGTGTTCCAGCAAGATGTTCCTTCATTCGTTTTATCCCCCCCCCTTTTGATGACCTTGATATAAAATTTACACTTGAGTTATTTATAGATTTTTTTCCACCCTCTCTAGGTACTTCTATCTCTTCACTATGTCTCCATGTTGGATCTTTTCGTGCTCCTTTAGAAGCCATTCTAAGTCTAATAACTTAACAAATAATCTGAAGTGAAGTGAGAAAACAAAAACATTACATGGAGAAAAAACATATTGTAAAGTGTAAACGAAATACACACACATGACATTTTACTAAAAACAGATTGATAAGTGTATAACTATATAAGTATATAAGTATAAGTGTATAACAGTATAAGGATAAGTGTATAACTTGTCTTACCTTTGATTTGATGCAAGTTAGCAACTAAACAAGTAAGCAATGGGAAGAGTGATCAACAACTTCATTTTTTAGCGCAAAAGTTGAGAACAACTTCTTATAAACCCTGAATTGAAGAAAATGTTCGATTTTGTTAACAGGGGAGAAATAAGAAATGAGAAAATAAGGAAGAGTAAACAACGGCCGGAAGAAATTAGGTCAAATAAAGATGTCCCGTGATTACTAATGTTATATATGGTCAAAAACTCAAAGAAAAAATGAAAAAAAAAACTTTGTACACCTCATACGCTTCGATTCAAATCACCCGATTTTTTCCGCATCACTAGACTGAGGCGTACATCCTGTTCTAAACCCTAAGAGGCGACATATTTCATTTGTTTTTTGACCGCTTTGATTCTAGGCGCGCCTTGAGGCGTAAATCTCAACCGATTTTTAAAACCTTGTTACGAAGTTGTTGTGACCATGTGTATACTTCCAACACTTACAACTAAAATGAAGATCTAGGGGATTCATGTTTCAAAACTAAATTAACTCCCAATAGAAATTACATTAGCTTCAAATCGTGATCTTGATATCTAATGTCTCTTCATTACCTTATGATATGATTCTAATTGCTTAGCCATACTTGATATGTGATAGAAATTGAAGTTTCAGTGGATTAGAAACCAATTCAAATCAAATTACGAGTTAAGTACTCCTTTGAAGCTTCAATGCAATTTGAAAAATCTAGATCATCAAAAATGGAGTTAGCGGTTTCATAGATTGAAGTCATAACTATAATCAGAACATTAACTATGATTCCATATATATATATATATATATATATATATATATATATATATATATATATATATATATATAATGAATGAACATATAGATTCTTCGATCTAGGGCTTGGAAAATCTTCAAAGTCATTAAAATGGAGGATCAAGATTGGAAATGATATTTTGATGCTAGATTATGGAATCTAAACATGAAACTATCATTTAGAATTTAGTAATAACATGGTTCAAAATAAATTTAGATTCTAAGAAGATTTTAAAACTTAAAAATCCCAAAATAAAGAGCATAGATGAAGATTAATACCTTTCGAAATCCTTTCTAGTGATTTAAACACCAAACTCTATAGGAACGTTTGGTACATGGAAATGGAATTGCACCATAGAATAGAAATGTAAAGAAATAGAATTAAGCTTGGAAAAGAGAATTGATTTTACTGTTTGGTAGAATTAAGCATTCACTAGAGAAATATTTATGAGAATCATTTCTCTTGTTTGGTTGTATTAAGCAAGGAAATGGAAATAAGTTTTTTTTACCTTGTTTATTCATTTTCAAACGACATTGTCTTTATAAAAATACATTATGATGTACATCTTAATTTGTCAAAATATGCATCTTTTATGTTTATAATTTTGCAGTTTAACATTACTTGTTACCAAATAGTTTATTTTATTGTCAATTATTATTTTATATACATCTTGTATTGGAAAACATATTTCTAATATAATCGAATATGTTACAAATAGGGCCAAACATAAAGAAATATGAAAATCATACTATTTAAAAACTATGTCCAATATAGGATGTGTAAAAAATCAAATTCAATTGTCGTAACAACTAAAAACCATAACTTAAAATAGCCTAATCATAATATTTAGCCATTAGCAATCATTTCCATGTAACAAATCTTTTCTTCTTCCATTGTCTTAAAAAATGATCGAGCGTGGAATTGATCTTTGCTAAATATGTCAATCGCTTTAATGCGTTGTTTGACATTAATATTTGGCATGTGTTGTATATTTTCGATAACTTTATCTATCATATCACATGTTTCCTTATTTTCTTTCCTTCCTATATTGTATGTTGTTTTAGTAAGTTTATCACTAACCTCCTTGAAAGTATCATTCATATCTTTCATTGTTAACTTATAATAGCTTTTGGCATCATCAGTTTTAGGTCTTCTACATGTACTATTAACACTACTAGTTTGTTGTGTCTCTTCAACGATATCTTCCAACCCTTCTACATCAATATGTGAGTTTCTTTGTGTCTCTTTAATCACATATTTTTGTCCAAGATCAATAGCTCCGTTACCAATAGCTCTATCCTTACCGAAAATTTTACACATGTTATCGATTGGGGAAATGGTTTATCGCGAAAACATGCAACACCTTTATAACTCTATAAGAAAGGAACTAATGGGTTACTATTTATTTACAAGGTGTTTTAATGTTGCTAAAAATACTACAAACATAATCATTATAGTACCTTTATAGCGGTAACACAACATTTCACTGTATCCCAACCGAATCCACTCGTTTTGTTTTATATACCATGTCGTGCATGATGTTGAAATGGTTTTACCGTGTCTTCATCCTCGATTTAATATGAGGTTCTATTTTTAAACCCAAGTTAGGAAGACTTACATCTAGTAATGTTTGCATCGCCTTCAAATAATCGGGTTTGAATCTGTTGTCAGCACCACCATACTTTCCAGATACATGTAACTCCAACAATGCATCAATCAACTTTTTGCTTTTGTTTTTCTGAGGGGGTGTTTGGTGCCAACAATGGATTCAAACCTGGTTATTTGAAGACATAAAATTAGAGTTACATGTGTTCAGAAAGTATGGTGGTTGTTTGTCACCCCCTCATAAAAACAAAAATGGAAAGTTGATTGATGCATTGTTGGAGTTACATATATTCGAAAAGTATGGTGGTGTCTACAACGTATTCAAACTTGGTTATTTGAAGGCGGTGCAACAATTAGTAGATGTAAGTCTTCTTAACTCAGGTTTGAAAGCAAAACCTCATATTAAACTGATGATGAAGACATGGAAAAATCATTTCAACATCGTGCACGACATGGTATATGAAACAACACAAGTGGATTCAGATGGGATACAGTTAAATGTTATGTTACCGCCATAAAGTTATTATAATGATTATGTCTGTACTATTTTTAGCATCATTAAAACATCTTGTATATGGTGGTGTCTACAACGGATTCAAACTTGGTTATTTGAAGGCGGTGCAACAATTACTAGATGTAAGTCTTCTTAACTCAGGTTTGAAAGCAAAACCGCATATTAAATTGATGATGAAGACATGGAAAAATCATTTCAACATCATGCACGACATGGTATATGAAACAACACAAGTGGGTTCAGATGGGATACAGTTAAATGTTATGTTACCACCATAAAGTTACTATAATGATTATGTATGTACTATTTTTAGCATCATTAAAACATCTTGTAAATGAATAGTAACCCATTAAATTTTATTCCTTTATTGTAGTCATAAAGGTGTTACATATTTTCACGATAAACCATTTCCTCAGTTCGATAACTTGTGTAAAATCTTTTGTAAGGATAGACCTACTAGTAATGGAGCTATTGATCTTGGAGAAGAAGATGTGACCGAAGAGACATAAAGAAACTCATATATTGATGTGGAAGGGTTGGAAGATATTGTTGAAAAGACACAAGAAACTGCTAGTGTCTATAGTAAACATAAAAGGCCTAAACTGATGATACCGAAAGGTATTATATGGAAGCAGCGAAGTAAATGAACGAGACTTTCAAGGAGGTTGGTGATAAACTTACTAAAATCATATACAATATAGGAAGGCAAGAAAATAAGGAAGCATGTTATATTATACATAAAGTTATCAAAGATATACGACGCATGCCAAATATTAATGTCAAACAACGAATTAAGGCAATTGACATATTTAACAAAGATCAATTTCGTGGCCGACCATTTTCTAAGACGACGGAAGAAGAAAATATTTGTTACATGGGAATGATTGTTAATGGCTCAATATCATGATTTGGCTATTTTAAGTTATGTTTTTTTAGTGTTACAAATATTGAATTTGACTTTTTGTAGATCTTATATTGGGTATAGTTATGTTTGTTTTAGTTGTTACGAATATTGAATCTGACTTATTGCACATCCTATATTGGACATAGTTTTTGAATAGTATGATTTTCATATTTCCTAATGTTTGGATCTATTTGTAACTTATTCGTTTATATTATAAATATGTTTTTCAATACAAGATGTACATAAAATAACATTAATTGACGATAAAATAAACTATTCGGTAACAAGTAATATTAACATAAAAAAGTATAAACATAAAATATGTATATTTTGACAAATTAAGATGTACATCATAATGCATTTTTATATAAAAATGTTGTTTGAAAATGAATAAACATGTAAAAATACTCATTTCCATTTAATTGCATAATACAACTAAATAAGAGAAATGATTCTCCTAAACATTTCTCTTGCATCATTTCTCTAGTGGATTCTCAAATTTACCATATATTGTAATCAATTCTCTTTCCACAACTTAATTCTCTTTCTATTCATTTCCATTCTCTGCTACAATTCCATTTCTCTATACCAAATGTCCCATGATTCTAGATGCCTCATGTATTTTATTTTCTCTCATAAACACCATGTATTGTCATTTCAAGATACACAACCATAAGACATGGGTAATAATAGCTTCCCTAAACCATTGTCAACTTAACATACATATTAAAAGATATCAACAACGTCTAAAAGATCATCTAATTTCCAACAAGAGTACCAAACCAAAGTAATCTTCACATTTCCTCAACTTTCCTTGATTGCATCTCTATTCCTTTTACGAAACTCATCACCAATAGACGTACAACCCACTACCGGAAGTACCAATAGATTCACCACCAAAAGGGCCATAAAAACATCTGGTTTTGAAATTTCACACTTTCATGAACCTATAACTCTCCTATTTATTGACTCTCCTAAAATGATAAAAGGAAACTATACTCGTAAAGGGAAACCCTAACTGCATAAGGAAACTAGAACCAACTATATAAATACTAAATAATAAAGATACTAGAATAATCATAAATTACTAAACAACCCCTGCATTCTTTTTACGCTTCTTGTAGACCCAATCCCACTTATCCGCTCGGTTAATATCAATACCCCCTCGGTGAAAATCCACCTTGTCCTCAAGGTGGAAATCTGGAAATTGTTGCATGAAAAGCTCATTTTCCTCACATGTAGCTTCAATTTTCTGCATATCATAGAAACGGTTAGCTTTGTACACCCAGCCAAATGGGTCTTCACCCTTGAACAATGGCATTTTTAATTTCCTGAGACGGTAGTCAATGCCAGGAGTCCACCCTTTTTTGCTGCTTTGAAACATAGGAAGTTTGCGCCCAGTGAAAAAGTTATATGGGCTACTCTCGTTGTGTGGATGAAACTTGTCTCCCTGCACACAAAAGTCTTCTGTTGAATGCTTCTTCTTTCTATTAGAGGCATTCGACCCATCGTTGAATGATGGCGGTGGTAATGGGAATCCCTCGTTATCAAGTGGTAGTCTTGATGACAAGCCACTAGCATGATTGAGAGGTGGTGGGATGGTCGAGATAACCTGTTGGATGGTGGTTTGCGCGGGTGTGGTAGTTTTCATGACTGTCGTGGACGGGATGGTCGCCATGTGTAGTGTCAAGGATTGTGTTGGAGGTGGTGACGGCATCAGTGGTTCGTGACTGATAATTGGTGTTGCTAGCATTGGGGTTGGCTGCAACACTTTCAACAAAAGTGCCATCAATTCCGCATGACGTTGATTGGCGATCTCCTGCTGTTTTTCTGATTCCAATCGGATATTAGCCAACTCTTGCTCTACTTTCTCAAAATGATCAGTTGAGTTGACTGTCTGGAACTGCTCTAAACATGCCTCCAGATTGGTCATCTTAATTATTGTGCTTGAATCCTCCGGTGAATAGTGTCTTCCAATGAACCGATGTTGCTGCCAGAATCGTTGCTCTGATACCAATTTTGTTTGGAGACTCAGGGGATCTCCAAACAAAAGAAAACGACTCACTAAACTTTGCCCCCCCTAGAAGAGTCGGCCCTAACCTATTTATTGACTCTCTTAAACTGATAAAAGGAAACTATACTCGTAAAGGGAAACCCTAACTGCATAAGGAAACTAGAATCAACTAGATAAATACTAAATAATAAAGATACTAGAATAATCATAAATTACTAAACAACCCCTGCCTTCTTTTTTCGCTTCTTATAGACCCAATCCCACTTATCCGCTCGGTTCATATCATTTTTATCATGGTGTGAAGGCTATATACCAAAGAGTCCTCAATATCCTTGACATCAAAATGGTTTACATGATTGTTATTATAGCTTCATCTTATGCATAGAGTGAACATCCATAATGATGCATATTTAACGTGAAGATGTTATCTTATCCTCTTATATAAACCAAAAGAAAATAAATGGAGCTTTAGAAATACATATTCAATGCCAACAAGAATAATACAAACCATAAAGATGATTAGCATATACATCTAAGAATTTACTTTGCATACTCCACATTGCAACAATAAAGGTGGTCGGTAATGAAGGAATCCAAGTTCAATAAGATGACTAGTGCTTAGGTATGGTTTTATCATGCCCTAATTTTAAGTAAATGTGCCATCTATATTCAAGAGGGGGGAAAGGATATGTGAAATAACCAAATACCCTCATGTACAAGTCACATGAGGAGCTTAACAAATGAAATTTAACGGTGTTAGATCAAATGAGGTATAACTCAATACTGATGAAACTGAAATAAATAAATCTTATGGAGTAAACCTAGATGATTTGGGAAAGCACAATAATGATTTTGGTAGTTTACTCAATTTATTAAATGTGTGTGACTTTCTATTATGTTTTTACTAACCCATATAATTCATCCACATTAAACTAGATCTACATGTTTTGTCACATATGGTATTGGCTTTCAAAGTGGTTGACCTATTAACTAGGGTTTACTAAACTCTGGTATTAGCTTTCAAAGTGGTTGACCTATTAACTAGGGTTTACTAAACTCCTATATGGGAGGTTCAATGTTCGAGTCATAAGAGTTTTAGTTAGAAGTTGGCTTAGAAAGGATATACAACTTACTTCAATCTTCAGTGTCTTAGCATATTGCCCACAAGATGAGCCCTCTCCCCTATCCTCGTAAAGCAGGGAGTTGCGGTGGACGACTGAGAACCCATTGAAATGGTTTGATTGATACACATTCTTCTTTTATAAGTGTGAGATACTTTTGGG